CTGCTCGGGCTCCTCGGCTGCCTCTCCCTCCTCCCTTTCGGTGGCCGCTCGGAGCTTCTCGCGCAAGCCCCGCCCACCAGTCAGCTGACCCGCGGCGCTTGGCGTCACAGCGGAGGGAGGAGAAAGAAGGACGGGGGGGACGAGGAACGGCGGGTGGTGACGTAGGAGGGCCTACGTCATCAGCCTCGCCACCACCTCCTCCACGGCTTGCCTCGCGACTTGGCGCGTGCGCGGCAATGAACCTTCGACGCCTGGGCAAGGACAGGAGAGGGAAGGCAGGGGCAGGCGTGAGGCGAGTGCGCCTGCGCGAGAGGAAGATTGAGCGCGTGACGCGCGGAGGAAAGGGCAGACAAACCCCCCCCGCCCCCCAAAATCCTCGCGCAGAGTCTCGCGGGCCGAGAAGCGGCCTGGGGCCCCGGAAGCGCCCCGGAAAACGCTGGGCAGCCCTCCGAGGGTGGCTGTCGTTGGTGGCACGCCGAGCGTCGCCTCTTTGGCAAGGGCCGGGGAAAGGGAAGCCCGCGGGAGAAGCCCGGCCTCCTCCTCCTCCGCCTCGTCCTCTCACTCCCCAGGCACCCGGCAGCCCCCCATGGAAGTCCCTGTAGGGTTCTGGAGAGGCGAAGGCTGACCTCGAGACGACACCCGCTCCCTCCGATCCGAAAGGCTGGATTTAGCCTTGGTGACAAGTCAGCCTTCGCCCCCAGCCGTGCGTGGCTCTAATCCCCTTTTAAACCTCTCTAAAACCGGCTCGAGTCTGTTGCAGAACATCTGCTCCTGTTTAAGGAGACTCTGTGTCTCTCTCGTTGTGGAGCAGGGCCGTGATGCCAACAGTTTTCGTAGACGTAGCTGTGTTAGTCTGTACAAACATAGCCATTAGAAAACAAAATTTATAAAACCAAAAACAGTGGCACCTTAAAGGCGGTTATGTTTCAGTAAGCGCTTTGTTGGATAAATAGACTTTCCTTCGTCTCTGAAGAAGTGGCTTCATCTATCAAAACTCATGGTGAAATAAGACAGTTGGTCTTAAGGTGCAACAGTGTTTGGGTTGTTTGTGTTTATTTACTTTGTTTTTGTCTGCATAGCCTATACAGTAAATATGTTGCAGTTGTGTTTGTGGCAAGAAGGCAACACTTAAGTCCATTGCAGGATGTTCTGATCAATATTTGCAAGAATAGATCAGCAGACACTGAATTACTGATTACTCAAAGCCAAGTTATTTCCTCCAGTTGTTTCACCACATAATTTATGGGCACTGCAAGTGCCAGTGGCATCTCTTGAGCTCTAATGAGAGCTGTCATTCAGGTCATTGTCATTAACAATGTTTGTTTCCGCCGTGGTCATCTCCTTGGCTTGGGAGGATGGACCAGGAAGAAACAAAATGAGAAGAGAAAAGCAAACCTTCCCCTGTTGCTTGACCGAATTTCATTCTCTCAAGTAAGATGTCACTTTCAGCTGAATGTTCTGGAACAGAACAGAGATGTAATCTGGCACTTCCAAAGAAACAGGGAGAAAATATGAGTGGTCCATTTCCAACACCAAATAAAGGCTGTAAAGCTCTGCACAGCCCCTGGCAATGCTTTGTTGGTGGCCTTCCCAAGACTTGGAAAAGGGAAGACAGGCATGCTTGTGGCTGGGCTGCCTGACAGGGCTTCTCTTATCTCAGGCCTGGGAGCAGTTCTCCTCCATGTATATTCCCGTCTTTTCTTTCCTCCTGTGAGCTCAGACTGGCATTAAAATCTCTTTCCCCCCCCCCCCCCAGATTTGTGGGCCATTTTTTTGCTGGTCTTTATAATCTGCCATTCCTGGTTACTGACCATTTTGTGGCTCTGCAGGCAGAGAAGCAGACACCCATTTAATTAACCTTTTTGTTTCATTTGATCATAAAACAAGAGGAATGTAGAAAATATTTCACAGACAATATGAAGAATACAGCAAAGTAAACCCCTCTCTGTGACAGTATTTTCTCGTGTATTTATTTGTAGAACTGACAAACCATCCCAGGCTTGCTGCAGACCTGGATGCCTTCCCTGGCCTATAGAAATCCAGTCTGGTGGCGCTAGAAGGCCTATGAGGGAAGCACTCTGAAGGGGAAGGAGCCTTTACTGCCTTGTGCACTTTGATGGAAAGGATGTCTGTTTGTCTCCAGTGTGATCAATCTTTAATGGTTATTGATTTCTTTTTTAAATGCTTGCAGTCGGTATAACTGATTTGGGCTCAGTGGTTTCTGGTACCCAGTCCTGTGCATCACCAGATCAAGACAGAGGAGGCAAGAAAGAATTTGAATGGACTGGTAGTGATGAGTGGTAGCTTTTCAATGATTTCTGACTCCCAAATTGTTTGCAACTAAAACAGCAAAATAATTACCCCATTCTGTGAGTAGTCATTAGTAGTTCCCACAGCACTCCCCTCCCCCCAGCTTTTATCATTTCAGAGATCATTTAGGTAAATGCATTACACATTTTATAGGCACATGTTGGAATCCTCCAACCTGCCTGGCCAGTTGAGATTTGATGCTTCTAGATATTATTGCTCTGGAAGCTTTCAAGAAAACCAAACCAAAAAACCTACCCACAAACTTTCTGCCTTGTTTATAAAGGATACAATGCAGCCTTACCTAGCAGGAAATACACATCATAGGGGCACTTTGGTCAGACTAGATATGTATAGGATTGTACTATGTAATTAGAAATTCTTATATACTGTTTGTATGCTGTGTGACAAATCAGTTTTATCACTTAGTCTACTCAAGTTTCCTATCATTTAAGTTTGAGTTACAGTCTCTTCCATTGGCTATAACAGTTCCTAAGAAAATGAAAGACAAAAGTGACGATTTCTTGCAAGTACTGTATATTGTACTGAGCAACAACAAATTATTTCCAGGAAATGCTGGGGGCCCTCAACGTTTTGCGATATAAACGTTGCAAGGTACGTCCACAAACAGCAAGAACACTGGGGAGGCGTAGCTTCCAACAGCCTCGTTGGCGCAGTAGGCAGCGCGTCAGTCTCATAATCTGAAGGTCGTGAGTTCGAGCCTCACACGGGGCAAGTATATTTTTGTTGCGATTTGCGTTTTCTTTCATTCGGCTTTGTTCTTGCAATGCAGTAGAAACAAGCAGGTCATCGGGGTGTGGTACGGTGGGGGTAGAATACGCCATATGGGCGAAGGAAAACGGGTTGCCTGAGCCGTTCGTTTCCTGTTACAGGGAGCAAACGGAAACGCTAGATCTCTAGCTCAGAAGCTCACCTGGGTCGTGCTGGGTGGGGGAAGACGAGGGTGATGGTGGCTGCCTGGGATTCCCTTCCCCCTCTGCGCGGAGAGAGATTACTCCGCACCGAGATGACCAGGATCCTGGCAAAAAAGCAAGCCTGCTGGGCGTCACCTTACCAGGGTTTCCCGGGGAGACGAGAGCCGTTGCAGAGACGATGTTCTGCTCGCTCAGTAATAAATTGCTACTAATAAATTTTACTAACATTTCAAGCAAGTGGCTCGTTAAACTATTATTCTATTGATTCTGCAAGCACTTGCATTTTCCTTTTAAATAAACGTCATCAAGGTCAATCTCAGCCAGATTAAAGAGCAAATCCCGTAGGCGTTGTTTTACGCGATTTTACATAATGCCGGCGAGTGGCAACTGTTTCGGGACCAGGCGGAAATTGCTCCACTGACGAGGGAGCGACTGGATGACCTCGGGGTCCCCCCGAGGCAGAAGGCGGGGCGACGTGACGCAAAGGGTGGGCGCTCTTCTAAGCCGTGGACGCCGCGGGGGCGTGGCCTCCATAGAGGAGAGGAGGGCGCCTGCGTGCTTGCGCTCCAATAGCCGCTCCGGTAGGGCGTGGCCGCTTTGACAGCCTTTGCGGCCCGGGCGGGAGCAAGAGAGCCGGCGCGGACCAAGGCCAGGAGCGGTCGGGGAGAGGTGGTGACTGTGATTGGCGTCGCGCCGCGGCCAATGGGAACACGGAGAGAAGGGGCGGTGGCCCGCTGGTGGGCGGGGCGACGGAGCGAGCTGGGCCTAGGATTGGCTGGGGCGGAGCTGCGCGTGCGGCGGCTCCCTCTGGCCCGGCGGCCCTCCG